AACAAAAACACACAGACTTAAACTGTAAACAAAAAGTCCACAAGTTTCAAGCCTTTGTACGGCCTCATAAGGAAACCACAACAAATAAATCATATTTTATGAAGTAACACCCAATATGCATTAGTCCATCTGACGTGTCTAACTTGGTCTATTACAAATAAAAGCCCTGACTAAGGCTTCGTAGCCTGGTGGATAGCGCGCAGGACTCGTAATTCTGTGGTGCGGGTTCGATTCCCGCACGAGGCAGAAACAAATGGGCAAAGTTTCTTTCACTCTGAATGCCCCTGTTACCTAGCAGTAAATAAGTACCTGGGAGTTAGTCAGCTGTCACGGGCTGCTTCCTGGGGGTGGAGGCCTGGTCGAGGACCGGGCCGCGGGGACACTAAAGCCCCGAAATCATCTCAAGATAACCTCAAGATAAGGCAGCGTCACCACCACAAGCGCCAGAGCATGAAGGATACCACCTGTTTATAATCATCAAATATAATGACAGCTTAGGCGCCTTAGACAAGGAGAGGACGAACCTTAAGCGAATCGAGACAGGTGGCGAAGCATAAGAATTGCTTCGTCAAGGGGATGTGGCTCGGTGGGGGATGGTTAGGGGATAGTGTGACGATTGATCAAGCAAAAGATAGACAGGTGAATGATGTTTGTGAGCCAAAAGGTCCAATAACAGCGGCAGGTGGGTGGTGGTGTTGTAAATGCTTCAGGAGACGAGAGAGGAGTTCGGGTTAAACGTCCACGAGAGAATGAAATAAACAGCGGAGAACGGGAAGGGCGATATGAGAGTGAAGCAGATGGCTGCCTGGTGACTGGTCGTGGTGGGAGTCACCTAGGGACCGGGTGGAGGGGTAGAAATAGCCTAAGCTGCTCTATCCCTTTGAGATGTATTTCTTTCTTGTCTCAATAAACATACATGAACTTCAACCAAGGGACCCAGGGTTCGAGACCTGAGACAGGCAGCTTCCGAGAGGTACCTGTCCTCAGGCCAGGCTCGTTAATACAGCGGCTATCCCCCATAGACACATTTATAAATTTTAACGTAGTTTGTATTAAAAAAATAGGTTTATTCTCACATATAAATTCGATTATATATATTAAAAATTCCATGTATAATTCGGTGTAGATTAGGTTAGGTGTTTAGGTTCTTTTGGCGATTAATTGTATTTGCAGAACGTGGATTAAGTATTCACTTATTGCTATAAAACAGCGTATTTAAATGCCCCAATTAATGTTGTGCTTCAATTATAAGTCATTGTAATATTGAAATTAAAAGAATAGTGCTATTCTACTTAAAAAAGGGGGGAGGAATGGCATTATGATATTAGCTTCGTATGGCAACATTCACCACACTTTTGCTGGTATTTCAAAACGTTATGAAAAACGTCAATGGAAAGTTTCCTTTTCTAAGCTTGCCAAGTAAGCCGGACGACTCAAACAGAAAACGGAACAGTACGTCACTTTTGTGAGTCGATTTCATTTCAAATTACGTCCAAATTTGGCCATAGTGCGCATACGAGCGAAAAGTGACGTTATTTTTAAGAGGACGAGTTGTCGAGCAGTTGTCGTTGATCTGACTTTTGAGACAGTAACTTTGGCTTGTTTAAAATAGTTTCCCCTAAAATATTACTCCTTCACTGCCTGCCTGACTCACACAAGGTCCCTATATACCCTTACCAAAACTCGTAACAGGAACTATATGCGTTTTTTTCCTTTTTAACCGCGAGAGAGAGGGAGAGAGCAGCTTAAATTCCACAGGAGACTTTTGTGTGGCTGATCTTGACTGTCCGACAGGGACAATCGGAACTATATATTCACCGGACAGTGTAACCCACTTATTTGGTGAATACAAACACAGTTGATTTTGGCTCTGGGCTGTGTTCCGGTCTAGTATTCAACTAGTATTCTTTCTAGTTGCTATTCTGGTGTCCTTAATAAGCCTCCAGATGCTGGAAGCCATTAAGCTCAGCACCAAGCCAAAGACTGTTTCCGTGGAATATAATTCTTAACACATAATTATAAAACACGTTCTGCATGCACACTAAACATGACTGACATCTAGAAATTCATGCATATTAATCAAGAACGAGCTAACTAGTTAATATGCTAAACTGAAATACCTATTTGACATACGTCAAATGCCTTTTGACATATGGCAAAATAAATTTCTGTCAAACACACTGTGTATGACATTGTGGCATTTTCATTTTCCTTTATGACAGACAAACGTAATTTATAACTGAGTGAACATTGCAACTGACTTCACAAGTAAATTAAAGGCTTTACCTGTCACTGTCAGAATCACAATCTGTCAGGCAGGTAGTTACAGGCTACTGTCCAATTACAGTCTACTAGCTAATTACTGGCCAAAGTACAGACTGTTAGATAGTTACAGTCTGACAGCCAATTATAGACTGCTAGAATGCTCTCTAATTGCCAATCAACCACAATTAGTAAAATGTCAATCAACCGCAATTAGTAAAATGTCAATCAACCACAATTAATAAATTGCCAATCAACCACAATTAGTAAATTGTCAATCAACCACAATTAGTAAAATGCCAATCAACCGCAATTAGTAAATTGTCAATCAACCACAAAAAGTAAAATGCCAATCAACCGCAATAAGTAAATTGTCAATCAACCACAATTAGTAAATTGTCAATCAACCGCAATTAGTAAATTGTCAATCAACCACAATTAGTAAATTGTCAATCAACCGCAATAAGTAAATTGTCAATCAACCACAATTAGTAAATTGTCAATCAACCGCAATTAGTAAATTGTCAATCAACCACAATTAGTAAATTGTCAATCAACCGCAATAAGTAAATTGTCAATCAACCATAGCCTGCAAACTACCCACAATCTGCCAACTTTCACAGCCTCCCAGCCATTTCTACCTCCCAACTAATTATGGCTACTAACTAGTTGCTTCAACCATAAACGTCCAGCAACCAGTCATCAACTGACATCAACCACAGAAAACCTTCACAATTTATTTCGTCACGATGGAAGAGAATCACGATAATTATGTCCGTGTAATTGATTGCAGGATTGCAATAGATGTGAGTGATCACCATGACTTGTGTCCAAGCTGACATGCAATGATGCAGAGAGAGAGAGAGAGAGAGAGAGAGAGAGAGAGAGAGAAAGAGAAAGATAAAAAAAGAGAGAGAGAGAGAGAGAGAGAGAGAGAGAGAGAGAGAGAGAGAGAGAGAGAGAGAGAGAGAGAGAGAGAGAGAGAGAGAGAGAGAGAAAAAAGAGAGAGAGAGAGAGAAAGAGAAAAAAAGAGAGAAAGAGAAAAAAGAGAGAGAGAGAGAGAAAGAGAAAAAAAGAGAGAGAGAGAGAGAAAGAGAAAAAATGAGAGAAAAAAAGAGAAAGATAAAAAAAGAGAGAAAAAGAAAAAAAGAGAGACAGAAAAAAAGAGAGAGAGAAAGAGAAAAAAAGAGAGAAAGAGAAGAAAAGAGAGAGGAGAGAGAGAGAAAGAAAGAGAGAGAGAGAGACAGAGGAGGAATTTGTTTAACAAGGTTGATTTTGAGGCGTATTAACCTCTGGAAAGTCGTTAAAGCCTACTAACACTAGAGCAGAGTTTTTCAAACTTTATTTTTATTTACTGCGGCCCAGTAGGCTTGTGTGTATCACATACACACTGACTTATGTTCCCTTATTGACTATTGCCGCGATAAATACACATTTATGGATAGAATCCATTCGAGCAAATTACATATTTATATTTTTAGGAAGAATATGGGATATAAACACTTTCTTTGTATGGAATTCCAGCAAAAAAGACACAATTAAAAAAGAAATTAAGAGAAAGATGTGGTTGTCTGTTCGTAAGTAATTAAGTTCAATTTGGAACACTGGAAGACAATGCTACACGCATCTCTGGTGCAGTGTTATATCTTGAGGTTATCTTGAGATGATTTCGGGGCTTTAGTGTCCCCGCGGCCCGGTCCTCGACCAGGCCTCCACCCCCCAGGAAGCAGCCCGTGACAGCTGACTAACACCCAGGTACTTATTTTACTGCTAGGTAACAGGGGCATAGGGTGAAATAAACTTTGCCCATTGTGTTGAGATGGTTTCTGTCTTCCCTTTTAGTTCAAATGGAAAAATCCGAGTTAATGTGGAAGAATTGTTGTTCATGTGGAATTAATGTAGAGTTAATGTGAAAAATTCTTAATGTGTAAAAATTCTAGTTAATGTGGAAAATCCTAATTAATGTGGAAAATCCTAGTTAACGCAAATAAGTATTAGTAAAGATAATAACATCGAGATAACCTCTTTACTAAGAAGTAAAAATTCTCCCTAAACCTTAATCAAAACTATTTAATTGTTCAAAATCATTCTCCAGTGTAAAGTTATTATCTTTATTTAATAAAATACAATATAAGTCATATATACATAAATTTACAAGGCAATACTACATTACATGACGGTGGAGCTATATACTAGTATATATATATATATATATAGAACTATATGTATCTATATATATAGAACTATATAAATCTATATATATATAGAACTATATAAATCTATATATATATAGAACTATATATATCTCTATATATATATATATATAGAACTATATACTAGTACATAAACACCGATATGTCGGTTATATACTTCTCGGTGTTGTTATAGATTTAGCTACTGGGAACAAGTTCCAAGTAGCACAGGCTATGGTGAGCCCGTAGTGAACTTACCTGGCACAGGATCCGTTCTCGGTGTATCTATCCATGTTTAAAAAGATGTAAAATCACTACCTCTCTGACACCAGGAGGGGGGAGGGGGGGAATTAACAAAGGGGTAAGCGCCAAGCCATTACAACTATATAACACTTGGAAGGGATCAGGATAAGGATTTGGGATGGGACGGTGGATGAAAAGGAGTCTCAAAATCCCCTAATTATGAACAAATCCACAAGGGCCGTGACGAGGATTCGAACCTGCGTCCGGGAGCATCCCCTAATTATCTCTCTCTTTCTCTTCTAGGTGGAACTCAAGACCAAAGGTTGTGTTCCAGCTGTGTGTGTCTGTGAGACAATTCTGCACCCACACCACCACACAACCACCACCACCAACGCCCTTCACCACCACCATCACCACCACCACCACCCGCAGGCCACCAAGATGCCATCAGGGCCGCATGCGTCGCGAATCGTCCGCAAGTATCGCAGGTCGAGACTAAAGAGGGTGAAGAAGCAGGAATACAAGAAGTTAAGAGATATGGTTCCAGCGCTACAGGAAAGGGCTATCGTTACCAAGGTCAGTTGCACCCGTTGTTGGCCGGGCCGTTACGTGTCTTTTTTTTAACGAGGTGGCTAAGTTAGCATTGTTAGCCACACCGTTAGTGGCTGTTGTTAGCCAGGCCGTTAGTGGGTGTTATTAGCGAAGCCGTTACTTGTCGTTTGCGAGGTCGTTAGTTACTGTCTCTGTTAGCTGGACCGTTAGTTACCGTTCCCACAAGGTCAAGGTCAGCCACACCCTCCTGTTTTCCGTTGTTGCTTACGATACCGTTAGTTCATCTTCTGTTGATATAGCGAGCAATTCTTATCTTTCATATATAATGCTTCCCTATCGGTGCCTTTGGGAGAGTTAGGTCAATAAAATGCTAATTAGCATATACACATATTCTTCCGTTCTTCATAGGAGATGGTTAGTGATCTGCCCTACATAGCGTATCTACTTAGGAACCTGTACATCTTTTCTTATTCTTAGCAGCTTTGTTTACATCCATTAAAAATTGAGGGTTCCCTCGAGGGCCATATGAGACGCATTTATGTTATCATGAGAGCCACACACGACAACTAATTAAAGTCATTTAATAAAAATTATTGCAGAATATTTTTTCTATATTATGTTATAGTAAATACTAAATTACAGTATCCTTTGTGCGGGCCGCAGGTGTGCGTGCAAAAGGAAGCATACGGTCCGCATGTTTGACATACCTGCATTAAATAGTTTATGAGCTCCGAAGCAGTAAGAGGCTGTTTGTAAGAATAATAACATTTGATTGCTAAGTTTTGATGCTCATAAACTATTTAATAAATGTAGACAAAGCCGCTAAAGCTTGAGAAAAGATGTAGAGGTTCTTAAGATGATATGCTTATATCTCTTTAAGAAGCTTGTTGAATCCTGGTCCCTGGTAACAACCATATATCGTAGTCATTGAGCACTCAAACACAAGCGGTTGTATTATATTTTTAAATAACTAGCACTCAAGTATTTTCTAAGTATGCCCCTAAGGCGATCAATTTTTCTCGTGCTCTCTGTTGCTAGTTTTTATATAATTAATTTGCTTGTAATTGTATTTTAATTAAATAATTTATTACATAAATTATGTAATTATATTACATAATTTAAATTTTTGTAAAAAAATACTTAATAAAATAAACAATAACATGATGTTGATGTAATTGTTGAATTTATGTATTTCTTCACTTTTGCTTACTGATTTTATCACTTATTTTTTGCTTTCTTCGTGTTCGTCACCACCTCCGTCACCACAACGGTCTTTATGTTCTCTTCTCTTGTTCTTCTTTCTCCTCTCTCATCCCCACGCACCTTTCTCTACAGCTCATACCACCATATTTTTCTCTCACCCCAAACACATTTTTCCCTTCCAAATACTTCCCCCTTCCTTGACTCCAACACCATATTCCTCCAATGAGTGCCGGACCAACCGGGCTGTGGTGGGCCTGCGGGCCGCTCCAAGCAACAGCCTGGTGGACCAAACTCTCATAAATAAGGGCTTGGGGAGTAGACGAACTCCCAGAACCCCATCAACCAGGTATCAACCTCTCACTCACGCTCCTCTCTCTCTCTCTCTCTCATAGGTGGAGGTCATTGAAGAGGCTATCAAATACATAGACGAGCTCCACACAGCACTTATACAGAGGTTTCGCGCCCAGGGCCTCCCAGACACACTCAGAGGTAAGGCTGAAAGTCTTGGCAGACCTGATACACACTCAAGAGTTTTTATAAGACTTTCAACGCAAACTAAAAGGTAAGGTTTCCATGCAAGTTCACTCGATGGTAGGGTTCCAGGCAGTCACGTCCAGATGTAAGGTTTCCAGGCATACACATTCAGGTGTGAGGTTTCCAGGCATACACATTCAGGTGTGAGGTTTCCAGGCATACACATTCAGAGAAAAGGTTTCCAGTCACACATTCAGAGATTAGCTTGTCAGTTGGTAATGACAGAGATGTTATGAGTGATTTGGGATTCTCTTCATTAAACTGTGGCTAGTAGAGATTGGAGCTGATAGACAAGTGGAGGAAAAATGATGAATTGATGGAAAATGGATGAAAGACGAAAAAATAGATGTATTAGTAAAGAAGTATGTTGACGTTCCGAGCAGTTATCAAACTTCCTGCGGTTTGAAGAGATAAAAAGTACATCATCAAAACTTATTATGTAAACAAAAATCATAAACTTAATAAGAGAAAATACTTTTTAAAAAATCGCTTTTAAATTTATATTATAAATATTTTTGAAGAGAAATTAGGTATAGAATATTTATAGGACATATACTTTTGTCTTTCAATACAACTGTGGGTTTTTTGTACATAAAATAATGCAACGCGAGACTTTGAGTTAACTCAGCCAGTCGTTCAAAAAAAGTGACAGGACGAAATGTTTGTGAATTTTTTTGTTAGAATAGACTGACTTCCAAACACTCCCTACAAACATGTTTAATTAAGGTATTCCCGTGGTCTAGGTATTTGTTATTCAGTTAGGTTTGGCTAAGGTTATTGAGACCTATCAACCTCTGGAGGGTTATTGAGACCTATCAACCTCTGGAGGGTTATTGAGACCTATCAACTTCTGGAGGGTTATTAAGACCTATCAACCTCTGGAGGGTTATTAAGACCAATCAGCCTCTGGAGGGTTATTAAGACCAATCAACCTCTGAAGGCTTATTAAGACCTATCAACCTCTGGAGGGTTATTAAGACCTATCAACCTCTGGAGAGTTATTAAGACCAATCAACCTCTGGAGGGTTACTAAGACCTATCAACCTCTGGAGAGTTATTAAGACCAATCAACCTCTGGAGGGTTACTAAGACCTATCAACCTCTGAAGGGTTACTAAGACCTATCAACCTCTGAAGGGTTATCAAGACCAATCAACCTCTGGAGGGTTATTACGACCTATCAACCTCTGGAGGGTTATCAAGACCAATCAACCTCTGGAGGGTTACTAAGACCTATCAACCTCTGAAGGGTTATTAACACCAATCAACCTCTGGAGGGTTATCAAGACCAATCAACCTCTGGAGGGTTATCAAGACCAATCAACCTCTGGAGGGTTATCAAGACCAATCAACCTCTGAAGGGTTATCACGACCTATCAACCTCTGGAGGGTTATCAAGATCTATCAACCTCTGGAGGGCGAGAGAGAATGGGTGACTGAGAAAGAATTGTAATGAGCGTCAGAGGAAAGGGAAGGGGGAGAGAAGGGAAGGCTTAGAAGGGGAGTAAGGAACAGGACGGGAAGGGGAGTAAGGAACAGGACGGGAAGGGGGGACTGCATGCCATCGCCATACACGGAACACAACTTGGGACTCCGCCCATAGATCCTCAACGCCCGCCACCTGCCGCCCACTGATGGTGATGGTGGTGATAGTGATGATAGTGAGGGGCTGTGGTGATGAGGGTGATGGTGAGGAGTTGTGGTGTTAGCCCAGGCAGTGCTTGCCAAAGCTATCTTGAAGGGGCAATATCGCTTGCCTGGCTATCTTCAACAAGGGGGGCAGCATCGCTTGCCTGTGCTATCTTGAAGGGGGCAGCATCGCTTGCCTGTGCTATCTTGAAAGGGGCAGCATCGCATGCCTGTGCTATCTTGAAGGGGCAGCATCGCATGCCTGTGCTATCTTGAAGGGGCAGCATCGCATGCCTGTGCTATCTTGAAAGGGGCAGCATCGCATGCCTGTGCTATCTTGAAGGGGCAGCATCGCATGCCTGTGCTATCTTGAAGGTGGGTAGTATCGCATGCCTGTGCTATCTTGAAGGGGCAGCATCGCTTGTCTGTGCTATCTTGAAGGGGGCAACATCGCTTGCCTGTGCTATTTTGAAGGGGGCAGCATCGCTTACCTGTGATATCTTGGAGTTCACAGCCCTCTGGGTTATCCTGGGAGGTAGCATAGCCTCCTTGGGCTATCATGAAAGTTTTTTTCTCTCCCGGGAAGTGTGTGATAGGTCGACCACCAGAGACCAACAGCGCTTTCACATCTAAACTTGGTCTGGTGTCAGGCATACGCCCTCCCCCCTCCTCTTTCCCCCTCCTCCTCGTCTTTCTCTTCCTCTGTCTCCTTATCTTCCACCTCCTCTTCCCGTTGAGTTTATATTAACCTGATGAATCTGTGTGTGCTTGTGCCTGAATCTCTTCTGCTGTCTTCAGAAGTCTCTGCGCCAGGAACTCGGCAGACTGTTCCGTAGCTTATAGACTCTTCCGCAGACGACCTGGAGGAAAAAAGCTTATAGTCCCGGGGCTCACGAGCCGCCGCCTCCTGCTGCCTCTGGGCCTGCTGACACGCAAAGTTGCTGGGAATTTATTTTGCAGTGAGGCTGTAGGAACCGTGTTGCTGATTTAAGCTCTGTTTGGTAGCCTGTTGGTAATGGTAGTTAGTGGTTATAGCTTTAGAGCGCTCTATTAGAGGGCTCTAATAGCTCTATTAGAGCACTCGGCGTCTGTGGCGTTTTTCTCTACGTTATAAGGGTCTATGAGCTCTCTCTCTCTCTTGCACTCTCTCTCTCTTGCACTCTCTCTCTCTT